TTGGGAGGGGTAGCTTTGGTTTGGCGGCTTAGCCATTGTGTTTATGTCTTGTGTGGCAGCGATTCGAGTGTCAGCAAGTTGATTAGCGTTAATTAGATGGACCAGTTTCGCTTGGCTTGGTTGGGGGTGTGGCTATTAAAACGGAATTTGAGAGTGTGTATTGACAGCAAAATTGATTGAGGGCGTTGCCTGTCGGCTTAAGTGTGAAGTAAATCTGCTCACAACTCACAAGCGGCAACTAATTGAATAGGACATATTTTGGAGCACTAGGGAAGAACTGACAATTCATACTAAGCATGTAATGGACATGGAGAACAACATGCTTAGAATTCTCAGCGGTCTCTTCACAGGACATTATAGATTAAGAGGTTACACAACTAAACAGTAACAAGCTCTGCCGATTTTGTGATAGCCAGTAGAACTCTATAAAGCACATGAATGCAGTTGTTTCCTAGGGAAGGACATAGAAACCCTCAACCCGACAACGATTTTTGGAAAGATGATCAAATAAAATTCGAAATAAGATTTAGCGCTGCTTCCAATCAATCGCCTTTATGTATGTATTTCGAAATTACAATTCACTTAATAAGTGGCTAATGACCTAATTAAAACAATTTGAATGCCATGTGGATGGGTGAATTTGTGTGTGCAGCAGGTGCAATATTGCGCATATTTTTGTAGCAAAGTGTAACAAACAACAAAGTGTAACAGGCAACACAAAAAGTGGCAGCACTCTGGCCAACATTTCGCGGCGAGTTCAATTAGGAAAATGTGGTGCTCGCGCATGAAACATTTATAATCACCGAAGGGCGCAACGATGCTGGCGCGACTAACACAAACAAGAAGCAGAGCAGCATAATTGTTTCGTTATCGAGACAGAGCCATACAAAATACGCACACCCTTCGAAAGCACTCACAAACACACACACACACAATCACATATATATATATATATATATATCTGGGTATACACAATCACAAATACCAATTCGTTTGTTACATATAAATTATTGAGGGCTGTAACATGATTTTAATTAAAGTTTTAACGAAAACCAAATATTTATCGTTTCATTTTGCTTTCCATTGTGCGCAACGCGGTTTTGTTTGTTCAAAATTGCCCCCACAACAGCAACAGCAACAGTAATACCAGCAAAAACAGCAACAACAACAAACAACATCATTAAGGAGCCAACAAATTCAATATGCATTGCATATAAATATGTAAAATGCTGAAAGGGACCAAAACAATTTATTATGAACAGCAAAGGTCATTTGAAAGTTATAATAATGTGCTCAATGTGTGTGTATGTGTGTGTGAGTATGTGACATGCAAATAATGTGTGATAAAACCCGAATTTATAAGCATGGAGTGTATGCACATCATGGCGTATGATTAACCAAACTGCAGTTTCATTTCGTTGGGTTAGTTTGCAACTGCATTGGGCTCGGTTTCGTTGATTACGCAGCCAAATCTGTTGCATATTTAATTCGGTTTGATTCGCCATAACTTTTTCAATTAAGTTTAATTAAATGTAGAACTCCAGCAGCACTGAACCGAACCTAAACTCATGAAAGCAGGCAAACTAAAGTCTCCCCTCCGTGTGCGTGTTTGTTTCAGCTCCGAAGCCTTTTAATTAAATTTTGCATGCATGTCCTACGACGTTACAGGCAGACCGGCTTAAAGTACGCCTAGTTTGATTGAATTGTCCGTTGCGAGACGATAATTTTAAATTGCCATTGAAACTCATTCTGCGTATAAATTTAAAAAGTGTTTCGAGTTAATTTGAATACTCATTATTCGTAATAGTGTAACAAATGTTGAAAGCTCATTAAAGAAAAATGTCCCTTCTATTGAATGAATATTATGTATTGTTCGCTTTTGTATTATTCATCAAGTCGAATGTCTATTTAACAAATTAAATTAAATGTGTATACCCAATTTTTTATGTGCATCTCAATTTTTAACCGGATCTCATTAAACGTAGCTATATTGAAGTTAAGCAAAATTATATCAATATAATTTAACTACTGTAATTTATTTTGTTCATAATTTACTAAAATTAAATGTTGATAGCAACTTAGAAATGAAATCCTTTAAAATTGGAATGAGTTTCTTGTTGTTCTTTTCCGAAAAGTGGTTCCATTTTGCAAAAACAAATAACTATAATCCGATCAGCTGTTTTGTTTAAATCAATTTATATGCTTGCCACTCACACATTAACCAGAACGAACAGCCATAATGGTGTAGCGAAATGTTAAAAGTGAGTAATTTACACAATGTTGGGCATAGTGAAATTCATCTATAAGATGACTTCAGCTTCTCCGATCCATTATTTTATTTATGGAGATTTTAGTAGTTGTCCTATCATTTTGCATCAGAACATTTTCCGCAATTTCATCAAAATTTTTATTTATTTTTATTATCTGATACAAAACACATTTACACATTAAATCTGTCGCATTGATTAAAAAAGCTTAATTATCGTATATTTTGTATTGGAATTTTCTTTCTTACATTTACTAACTTTGACAACAGTTGCTGTGATTAATGTTGATATTTGACGGTTTAATGCTTTGAAAGATTTATGCTCCGCCTCTTAATGAGGCCATAGGCGCAGAGTGATTAAAACTATGATAGATATGGCATTTCACGCCCCGCTTAATGATTATCCTCTAGATAGATACATCTGCTCAATTTCCCAGCGCATTAAGCCGAAAGCCAATGCGAAAATGAAGATGTAGCCGAGACCGAAGCTGAGGCATTTCAAAAGTTAAACGGTCAAAAATTAAGCAGAAACAACAACACGGCCAAAGCTGAAGGAAGAACAACAAACAAATAAGCTGGCAAGTTAATGAGCATAGAAACAACTCGAGCTTCTCATAAAGCAAAAGGCAAGCAAACTTGCTGGCAAAAACGGGACATGTCAAGTTGGATGGGTTGAGAAGCGAGGCTTGGGTTTCTCATTTATTTTAGCTACGGCTGCCAAATTTGCCTCCTCGAACTAAAAACTAATTTCAAATAAAGAGGAATTTGCAAATAGAGCAAGATTGGGCAGTGCTCAAAGAACAAAAACGTAAAAAATACTCAACCAAGTGTTGGCCAGAAAAATAAAACCCACTCAAAAATTATTAAGTGCACATTAATGAACATTAGCGGCTGCCACACTCCACCAGCCACTGGGGCAGGTCTCGAAGAACGTTGCACGCTCCTCGGCTGCACAACTTGCCAGGCTGCGGTTGGAGCAGCTTGGTTTGTTTAGCGAGCCGAAAATTCATTTAATCATTTTTCAATTAAATGCAGCTCGCAACCGGCCAACAGCAAAACAAGAAAAAATATTGAGCATTAAGAATACAGCTTATGGACGGAGACTTGTAATTTACTGCAATTAAGTGAGTATATTAAAAGCGTATCTTGAACACATCACACTTTCCAGAAACATATTTTTAAATTCTGGAAATGGTCAGATTTGGTGGGCTTCACAGTAAAAAATAGTTGCAAACTTAAAGCCCAACATTGCATAATTTTTCATTCTTTATTGTTCGTTACTCGAATATGTGTCTCAGTTGTCGTTAACTTGTGAGTGCGAAAATTACCGCTTAATTTAAATAAAAGAGCTGATCGGCTTATCCCACTCTGATTGGTAAAAAGGTATAATGATTTAGTGCAAATGTTTGTAACCAGCTGAAAAAAGCATCTCCGACCTCATAAGGTGTATATATTCTTGATCATGATCAACAGCCGACCTGATATAGCTATATATGCGCTGTCATAGTTTTGTTTTGGCGGTACCTGCACTTGCACACCTGCTTACATTTTGGTGTGCATAACTTTTTAAAGCGAACTTCGCCAATAAAACTTTAATATGTTTAACAACTAGGTTCATGGTATGTCGTAATCGAGCCCCTCTACTGCAACATTCTTTATTTGTTCAGAAAACTCTGAACCTATTTTTAAAAAGGGCTTCAGCTCAATTTTATTGATTGCTTTGGGACTTTGTTCATATCGAAATCAAATTATTATTATTAAAATTTATAAGTTTATTTTAAAAGAAGCGCTAACTTTGCTTGACATATCAACTGATTCTGAAATTTATACTGCCATACTTTTAATAAAATCAATACGAAATTCAATTAATCATAATAAAAACAGTAAAATTAAATAATCGGGGCGAGTTTCTATAATTCGCAACACGCTTTACTAATGCTATGGGAAAATGTACAGCCAACAACTTCAACTGCTGTAAAAATGCGATAATATAATAAATGTTGATAGTCAATTCCGACAAATAATTCTCGTTCCGAAAAAAGATAAACATTGTTCGAAATCTCAGAAAGAAACGGATATTCTGTCATAGCTTATCCTAATAGATAATGATAACCAATTTCGAGACACATGCTTGCTTGCAGTAGCTGAATGTTAGTCGATTGCTTCGATATGAAACTGAAAATTAAACTTTTTCTTCTGACTCCTACGCTACTAGATAATCTAAATTTGATGTCGTCTGGCCTCCAATCAAATCAAAAAGCCATTAAGTCAGCTTAAATTCGCCCCGAGCTAATGAAGATGGAGATCTTCTCGTGTGCATTGTGCTACCCAGATTAAGTAAACTTTTATGTATATGCAAATCTTGAATGTTGCAAGACAGCGTGTGCTAATTAGCTAGTTGTGTGAAGAGTGGAGGCGTGGAGGTGGGGGCGGAGTTGAGTGTTCTGGGAGTTGCGTTCTCTCAAGCAGCATTACTGAGTAAGCAATATAAATAACAATAAATTATAAATAAAGCAATGCAGCAGAATCGTTGCTGCATTTCATAAGAGGCAGCAGTGACCAAAAGCAGCCAGTAAAAGTAAAAGATAAAAATGTTGACAAGGAGAAGAGCAGTGAAGAGTGAAGCTGACCTAATTTCACTTTTGCTTACTTATGCCACGCCCAACAATATTCGAATTTCTTAAAGCACAGTTTGGAAAAGGTCATTCTGACTTGTAGTTTACGTTTTGCTTACCTGGATTCGATGCATTTATATGAAATTCACAAAGATTTTTCATGCCCTGCGCAAAATCATATGAATCCGAGTCGGTGAAGAGTATGTCCACATCCAGCTCGAAGCCCCGATTGGGTATTCCCTGCTGCAATGGCGCTGAGAAGGGGCTGGAGTGAAATGCAACCAACATTTCTGGACCACTGCAGAAGACAAGTTGTTAAATAAAGTTAGTAAATACTAAACACATTTTCACAGCATTCCAATTAAATTCTTAAGATATAAACTGATTCCTATTACAGAATGAATAAATGTGTACTAAAACCGGTTAGTCAGCAAATAAAATAGTGACGTATATCAAAACATTTTTACTTAAACAGAAAACTCTAGTTTAATTATTTGAACGACTTGAATAAACAGATATTCTAATGCAGCATATGTTCAAAATAAATATACTGCTTTCTGCTGTCCCGAAAAGATCCAGTAGCTTAGGTCTTTTGTTGGTATGTAAAAAATCATAATTATGTCTCGGGCAGATGGAGTTTTTTTTTGTTGTTGCTTGTATATAAGAGGCTTAACTATTTTATTTTTGTGAATACAAATATTATTTGAGACTAAAATAGCACAAGTCAGGCACATTGCCCATCGACCCGATCATCATTTACCCAGCTTGGCCACTCAAATTAGAGGCGTGAGAAAACTAGTTTCTCATAAATTGAATTTGCACAACTCGACAATCAAGTCAAGTCGTAAAGTTGTATATTTATATATGAAACCCGACAAGCAAACAAACAGACAAACAGACAAACTGACAAACATACAAACGACGAGCGTGCCAGAAATGGCGGCAGCGCCTAAAAGATGACGCAGTACTTTGTTGTGTTTTGTGCTGTTTTGGTTCACAGTTTTGCCAGCAAATTTTGTTCAACGACCACCCTTGCCGCCCTGCCGGCTATTTAAAGTGTCCGTCAGTCGTTTTGTCGTCTGCTTGTTTGCATTTTTGCTGCCAAATTAACTTTTTTCGCCATTGTGTGCGGCCACTGCTGCAAAGTTTTAGGCAAATTTTTGGCATAACAAGCGAAAAGCAAGTAGCGAAACTGCGAATGCGGGCCAACATTTTGGGGCCGTTTGTCTTTTGATTTTTGTCTAAAAATTATGAAATGACAGCCGTGGGTGTTGCACCATTTACTGTAGACGACGCGACGCCAGCACAAGAGGCACACCAGCCAGGGGTCAGGCAGCCAGGGGCAGGACACAGATGCCAGGAGCCCTGAGTCCGAGCCGAATTGCTGGCCAGGGATGGCAATGACATCAAGTGCCCATAAACTTGCCCATTTTTGGGCGCCTGCTTGAGTAAACGTTTGTCTCACTTGTCCCAAAGTAACATTAAAAGGCTTAAGTGTTAAGTTTGAATTGTGAAACGCAGTGAAAAACCGCAATAATTGCATTTGCCTTAAAAGTTAAGCAAGCAATAAAATACTTGAAAAATGCACAACTAAAAATAATAACATAAAGCAGAGAAAAATTATATTTTCCAAAGCAAATCATAAAGTTTACTAGTTTGCAATATTGCAACATTGTATTCAATCGACTGCACATAATACTCGCAGAAGCTTTCCTGAAAATGTTCATTAAATTCCTAAAGCCGGCCAATTTAAAATTCGAATTGAATTTTTATGTGGGAGCCTACGCGCGTATGAGTAATATAAAGAATATAAAAAAAAAATGAGGCCGACATCAGCTCGAGCGGCTTGAGCAAGTTTAGCCCACACCTGGTCCTTGTCAGGGCTCTCACGCACAAGATGGCCGGATGTTAAAAACCATCAAATATGGGCAACACAAATGGCTTTTTAATACGTGTAAGTGTGGCTAAAAGACAGGCGCTCTTATTATTCAAACACCTACACAAGTCACACACACACACACACACGCACACACATATATATATACAAAGTCAGAGCCCATCTCAAGGACTTGTGTGGCAGCTGCTGCTGCAATGCTTTTTGTCACTGCCAAGTGCAATAAACTGCAAATGAAAAGTAAATTAATTTTTAATAAAGCTCACAAATGTTAGCTCTCCCCCCCTCTCTCCCTTTCTCTCTGTCTCTCTCTCTCTCTCTCTCTGTCCCTGTCCACCCCTGTCCCAATGGAATATCTTGGGGTCCTGTGACGCACAACGTATGCGTATCACTTGGGTACTTAATGGCCTGCGGCACTTGCGGGTGTCGTAAAATCAACACAAAACCAGCACACGTTTCCAGAGTGCTGTCCCTTTGCCGGTGGTTATCAAAGCGTCACATGAAATTCTCCGTTCCCTCCGCTGCTTTCGCTCCCTCTCTCACCTCATCCCGCAGCTTGTTCTGGTCACGAATTTGCACATGCCCTCGATACCAAAATGTCTGACCGCAAATGGCAGTGTCGTCTTGTGGTGTGGTAGGCACAGGAGAGTATCGGGAGATGTGTGGGTTTGTGCGGGTGGTGGGGCAAGTGGGGCAAGTGGGCCAACGGAATTACCAGCAGTTTTGATACTCGCTTTGAGAAGCAAACAGAGCTGAGCGAGGCCGCTAATTGAACTAGTCCCACTGATGGACAGGCCTTATGTCGACAGTTGATTAACTTTGAATTCAGCTAATGACTGGTTCAAGAGAGCATTTAATTTGTGCCACATAAAGCGAATGAGAGGCTTCACCAAAAATCTGAACCACAAAGTTTCAGAAAATTACAAATCCAATAACAATGTAAAGCAGATAATTTATTTCCCATTATAGAGAAAATTGTAAAATAGGTATAAAGATTTGATCAAAGGAATTACTTACTCAAAGTAATCTTCAAACCACAGAAGTTCCTCTTAAAAATTTATTAAAATGCATTACAAACAGAATATGTGAAGGATGAAGTGAACTTTGACATACAGGAAAACTCAGCGCATAGTTAGCATGTGTGAGCATGGCAACTAGTTGAAAGCCAGCGCTCAGACTCAATGCTTATGAGAGGACTTATGGTAACATATTTATCTACATATTCACACACATGTTCAGATGCATACACACACACATACACACACACACACACACACACACATGCAGCCAAACTTTATCACCAGGTACTCAAGCTTTGCTTGCAGCTGGAAACCACGAGATGCAAAATAATTAAATGCAAGAAAGATTAGTGTTATTGGATTGCCGAAGACGTAATGCTCTTGCACGTATTGAAATATATATATATAAATCTTTTTTCCCATTAAAATCTTGCTAGGCAACAGTGAGCTGAGCTAAGCCGATGCGATTTAATTGTACTTAGCCTTATCCCTTGGAGTATTTTTATAAAATATTTAAATAATAGAGGCTACATTGTACAAATGATATAGTCTGTGTTATATTCACCTTTAATCGAGTTTATGGCAGAAATTCGTGATTATCTAGTTTTTTATCTATAAGCATGCAGCATTTTTCTCTTGACACTCCAAGGATACTTACTTGCAAGGAAATTTACTTATATATATAGATATGTATTAGCCAACAACTGAGTAAAAATTAAAGTGCCATTTAAAAAGCCAACGCTTTCCCAGATTTTTGGAAGTGCACACAAAAAATTACAATCACGTACGCTTGGAAAAGCAGCAGCTGCTAGCCGAGAGGTGCGGTGGAGGGTGGCATAAGACTGGGGAGACCCCCAAAGAAAAAGAGTTCAATAAAAAAAGCACGTCAAGGATACGTTGCTTGTAGCTTGTTGCAATTTTAAGTTGCACAGGGAAATTAATAATTTTCATGTGGCAATATCACCCCAACTCCCTCTCATGCCGCTCCACCCGCCTTTGGCACAGAATTTCAGCGACGTTTACTGAGGAAGGGAGCAAAAAAGGTGCCAGGCAAATTGTATGACTGTCATGTCTGAGGTGTCTGTAAGCCAACACTCGCAGCCAGCCAGCTGATGCAGCTGTGCTTTCATATGTGTGTGTGTGTTGGTGTGTGTGTGTGTGTGTGTGTGTTGGTGTGTGTGTGTGTGTGTGTGTGTGAGTATATATGCATTTATAATTCGTCTCCTCATATCGCGTAAGACGTTGGCTCCAGCATCGCACAGTGGGTTGGAAGGAGCTCAACTTTTGAAGCGCACTTAATGCCGTTTTTCTTCAAAAAGTGCGGGGCGTTGTGCACACTGGCTGTTTTGAATGGGCTTGGTGGGGTGGGGTGGGCGTGGCATGAGAGCCCATTTCTTACCATGACGAGGCCAGGCCGTGTCGTCATCTTTCGTGTGCATTTTCCGGTATATGCATTCTTAATGCGCTGCTCTGTGGTGTGCATGTTTGCTTATAAGATTTCAGTGCTCGCAATTTTGCCAGCGTCCTCAAGAAAATGTCAATAAATGCCCGAGTGCAACTCATTAAGAGATTAAGCAACAAGGTAAAACGATCCTCATCATCATCTTCATCATGCGTAATCATCTTACTGCCTGAGCAACTTTTAATTTGTGCCCTGGTTTAAACTTTCAAACATTTTTGCAGCTTCAAGACCTCAAAAAGAAGAGAAAAAAAAAACAGAAAAAGGGAAAAGATACGAAAAAGACCCCAACAACAATCAAAGTTGATGTGCATGTCTCAAGAGTCAGCGAAAAGCGCAAACTTTGCCCAGCCAAACAACAACAACAACAACAACAAAAGCTAAATGTGAAGTGCTAGATAAATGGACCAGAGCAGTGCACGGAGGGGGAGCCAACGTCCACTTAACTACCATGTGGAGGTGTGGCCTGTACTCGCAGTAGTTTGCACTTGAGCCATTTTTGGTCCGATTTTCCTGAGGCGTTGCTTCCTTAAAAATTTATACTGCAAGTCTAAAGTGAGTGTCAGTAAAACTAACCAGCAAAACTAAGCAATAGCATATAAAGAATCTGATTGAATAAAAAAAAACAGTTCACAAAATGCTGAGCTGCAATAAATATATGAATAATATCTGGTGGATTGACAAAAACACTCAAAAATATATTCCAATTATTCAGTCTATATGTAAACTAGTTTGAGCAAAACGAACGAAATTTAACTCATGTTTCTGTTTATTTTATTATTTGATTCAGATGTTTCCTGTTAAGATACCAGCCGCCAAAAATTATCGTTGAAAATGAAACATGACTTTTAGAAAATATTTATAGTGGCATTTTCGCAGAGAGCATGGCACCTAATGAGCAAAGATATTTCCATTGCATAAATCACCAGCATGAAAATGGTTTCAATAGGCGGCCATTTTGTATAGTCAAACAAAAAGTTGCAAACGTTACACACATAAATCTATTTATATGTTGTTGTGTTGGTAAGTGTGTGTGTCTGTGTGAGTCTCTTTTAAGTCTGTCTGTTGGTCGCTTTGTCTGTGTGCAGAGCAACCCAATTTCCGGTTTTTCTTAAGCATTGCACACAATTGCGAAGCCACATAAGCACTATTCGTGTGTGTGAGTGTATCTATGTGTAACTGAATTGGAACACATGCGCCCCAGGCCAACTGCAGTGCAGTGCACTACACACACACTCGCACACACACACACACACACATGGTGCATAGTGCATAGTGCAACAAACACAAACACAACACACGCTCATTAAAACGACGTTCTGTCTGTCAGTTTGTATGTCTGACTGGGAATGAAAATGTATTATGAGTCGTGCTCTGCTTATGTTTAACTTTTTCATAAAGGAGAAATGGCGTTAAATGAATGCCTGACAAGAGCTTGCAGTCGCAACACAAAGTATGCTATGGTTGCATTCATTCATTCCACTCACCGTGACACGACACGCGGCAACCAATCGCCGCCACAGTATTTGGCCAGAACGGGATCGTTGGTCGAGCTGCCATCGTAGAAGATCAAATGATCGCGTTCACCTGTACAGTCCGACCAGGCCCGAATAGAGCGCGAGGTTTTATTGAAGCTGGCAATCGAGCTGCAAAAGTAAAGAAATATTTTAGTTTATAGAAGAAAAAATATGCAAATACGTTATTGGTTGCAAGAGAAAATGGCAATGAACATGTAACATTAGCATTTCAATTTTGAATATCCTAAAAGGCAGCTGTCAGCTGCTGCCAATGAATTGGCCGTTGCAGCAACTCCCAATACTAATAACCCGCGAAAAGAAATTTGAGTGTCATTACCCGACAACGGAATACTCTTTTAAAAAGAAATTATAAAGTTAGCAAAGGTTCCCAGCCTGATGTAAATGAACTTGTAAGTATAGACAGAATTAACGAAATAGAGAGAGGGAGAGAGAGAGAGAGAGAGATAGAGAGAGAGAGAGACAGGGGTACACCGAAATACAAGTATATTCAAATTAATTAAATAACTGGAATAACTGGATGTAAAATTCTCTTTTTGGATACCTAAATGACTTATATGCAGACCCACATGCAATTCTCTCTCTCCTCATGTATACTTATTAGTTAAATATATTTATTTAAATTTGTATAAAAATAAACAACTATGCGCATTTTATCAAATCCCTTAACATGTATATTATGTATTTGTTAATTTGCTATTAATTAAGAGATTAAATAGTTGTGTAACTGCATTAGGGGAGATGCTGGCTAACTGGAGGAGTGTTCAGAGTAAGGAATTTGAGTCATTTTTAGGTGGCTTGGGTACTCTGTGAGGGGAATGTGACAGTTTAATTGTTTTTATAAAGGTATTTGCTTGGAATTTACTCACTTTAGAAAAGAATGAAATGCCTAAGAGAAGATTTAATGTAAGTCAAATTAAGTGAAAGGTGTTTGATAAGGATCCTTGTAAAAAGGACTCGTCTCTCTTAGATACTTTGACATGAAAGTATATTTATGTTGCTAGCATGTACTTCACATGTCGGTTTATTAATCGTAGATTGTTGAGCTGAGAGAGTGTATAATAATCGGGAATTTAAAGCATGTTTGCATATAAATTGGGTTTGAGATATAGGCAGTTAGTCTGGGCCTACCTGTCTGTTTCAATCTAATTTAGAATGCATGAATTGCTTGCAACCATTTAATTGGAATATACAAAATACATGTGAGTCCGAGTCTGTCTGGTCGATTCGGGCACAAAGGTGTGAAATGCAGGTGGACAATGGAATAGCAAGGCGCATTGCAATTTGCCAAATTGAAATTTGTCATACAAATGCGACACGGTCTTCTGCATCCACAAAAAACTAATGCTTATTTAATGTGCTCCATGCACGTTGCATAGAATTTGCCATTTCAATGGAAAGAACTTCCCCAAGTCCTCCTCACTCCCCCCAGGCAGTCTTTTACTTACCGCTTTACTAGCGCCTTGTGCTGGTTCTCCTGGCTAACGGCAATCATGGCGTGCTTGCTGGTTGGCACTTCTTTCTGTCGTATGGTCCAATAGCAGGTAACATTCCTTGGATACATACCAGGATAATTTGGGCTTTGCAGGCGACACTTGTTACGATAGCATTCATCGAATTGCCTTGTACAATAGGTGCCGGGTGTGACACGTCCCAGTTCCAATGGCTTTTCGGGCAGTCCATACCTGAAATGTAATGTAAGGACAAATTCCATCAGTAAAATGTGTGTAGTTGTGGGTGTTTGTAGTTGTTTAGGTGTTGCTGTTTTGTTGAGTGTGTTTGTTTAGCATTTAATTCAGTTTAGCTGGCTCCACTCAGCAGTATATTTGTTTGGTATTTGGGGCTTGCAAAGAGCAGCTGCAATTTGCATATAATGCAGTTGGGCATTTTGGGTTAAAATCCTCATCTGGTGCAATGTTTGGCTATTGTTTGGTTTGCTAATGGTCCGTATGACGGACTCACGCCACACACACTCCTACTCCTAGCTCCCGATGCATTTTTGTCTGCAACTATAAATTTCCGTGTAAATTGCCTGAAATTTGTTGAGGCGTAAAAATAGTTTTCAATTTCTATCACTGTTGCCATATCCGGCACAAACAGACAACTGCAACAAACAAAAGGACGCGACACAGACTCAAAATTTGACACACGTCGGAGCACAAATGGATTGCAGCTGGAACCTTGTGCGGCATGCCACGTGTCGAGCCAAAGAGCTGCTGCTCATGTTTTATGCAGCTTCCCAAACAAAACTCCATGCCACAAAGATTTTGCTCGCCAGCATTGCCTCAACTGCCACAGAGAGTGTCATTCACCACAGCCGTGAGATGCCATTAACGTGCCGAGCTGTCCGCACTTTCAAAGGTCGCCTCCGTTTCCATATGAGGGTTGAATGATAAATTATAGCCTTGGGCCACGTATTACGACACTAACAGCATACATTGGCATAATTCCCATAATAAAAACAAGAGAGATCGTTGCGAAGGGCGTAACCGACCGCGGAATACTCTGATACCAATAAGTCACACAATCTTATAACAGGTGCCACTGAAAAGGGTGAGTGAAGCCAAGAAATACCGATATTTGAAGGAGGTTCCTGTAGCTTTTAAATTACGCGAGGTGTAGGCTTTTATCGGTTTTGTGGGTGGGAGTGGTCGTGTTACTCCAGTAGCAATACACCTTTCAAGTTGTGTGAGATACATGATCTTATCGCCTGTAGAGTACGTGTGACCCTTCAATTTTTTATCAATCTCTAAGGGGAGTTACCAGTTACATACTTCCAGAATTTGGTGACCCTTGCTCACAAATTGAAGAAGATTGCAGATTTCTAGGACGAAGTTCCTGAGGGCGGCGGGTGTGGGCGTGGGCTTAGGCTATATGCTGATCTTTGAAGGAAGTTACCAGCGGGTAACTTCCAAGTTTGGTGACTCCACCTTCAAAATATTAGCTTTGGCTATTATGGGCGCATTTGTGGGAGTCACCACAAAAATTGTTAGTGGTTCTTAAAGACGGCTATCAAAAATATACCTACGGAATTTGACAGCTCCAACTCAAAAACTGCACGAGAAATAGGTGGCGGAGGTGGGCGTGGCAAATGCCGATCTTTGAAGGACATCGCCAACAACTTACCAAACAAATTTGAAGACTGTAGCCATAAAATTGTGGGAGATAAGTGGCGTTATCGATTTGCTATTAATGATTTTATCGTTTTCCTAGCCACTAGGAACGTAGACGTAGGACACAGACCACATATTCCAAGTTTCAAGGCTCTGGGGTGTCGAAAAAGTTGCGTTCATACGAACGGATGTATAACATGACGCACATTGCACAAAAACAATATACTATGATATCTTCGGTATCAGAGTATACAAAATTGAGGAGACTAAATTAAGCTGACATACAATTGCTATCCAATTATAATAATAATGTAACTATTTTAATTGTCGCATTTGTCGCTTGTAATTTTGTTTGTACTCCACGCCTCTTCAGTTCAACTCTGCTAACTTTTACATAAATATTGTAATAGTATTCAATTTGTCCTTTTCAATCTATATAACTTTTCAATATGTTTTGCGCTTGTCTTTTAACACAAGTAACAATTTGATAACGCTTTCCGATTTTGGAGTTAACTTACCTTACAACTGCGTCGGACTGGCTAATAAATTTGTATCGTATGCTGAACTCAAAGGGTTTCTCGTCTCGTAGATTACGTGGCGGATGAAATACCTGCAAAATTGGCAAGAAGAGCATCGTGACAAAAGATTTAACAAAAATGACTTTTACATCGCGAGGCTTCCTTCAGCTGAAAATTGAGTGTTGAAATAAATGTGTATATAAATGTATATATATAAATCCTTGCCAGGAAAATTGTCCCGTCAGTCAAAAGTCTGCTGTTCAATTGTGTGCGGCAGTACAAAGGACATCGATGCACGGTCGGACGTGCTAGGAACCCCATTGAAGTGTTATTTGTCAAAAATTGCGAGTCAGCTGCCAAGAAAGGGTCCAATTACAGTTTGGTTTAAGTTTAAGAAGCTGGCGAACACTTTCAATTGGGGCACATAAGGGCTTAAGCGGCGACTTATTTCGTCTTGAACTGAAAAATTGGCGTTTGCACACGCAATTTTCTTTTAATTATGCAATCTGCAATCTGTGCCTTCCAACCATGTCAACTCATCATCACTCGAGCAATTTGTTGTACTTGCAACAGCAGTAACTGCAGCCGCAGTCGAGTGCGAGAGCTGCGCCGGACCTGGGATGTGAATCAGGCATGCATTTTTATTAATTTTCATAATTTATGCGCTGGTGAATTCTGTAACCTGTCCAGAGTCGTTGTCCAGTTGTTTTTATGGCAGCTCGTTTGTTTAAATATTAATCAAAAAGTGGCAATGGCTGCTCAAGTAAACATTACGCATACGACACGTATCCGCAAAAGTTGTTCAATTTTAAATTAAAAAGTGAACAGATTGTTCACTGCCGTTATCAAATACACTTTCATTAATACCATTTTAAGATATACATTTAATATTGGGAGAAACTCGAGTTCTATTTAATTTTCATTTTATATAGAACTTTTGATTATTATTTTTTAACTTTTACTAATGAAGAGAGCACTTCTTTTAGTCCGGAAGTTTGAAACCAACATTAAGTAAATCTTCACCGTTTGTCGAGAGAAATAATATACTGTAGACTTGTGTTACCCCTATTAAAATAAAAGCTTAATATATGTATGTTATTCTGTATCACATTTCTCACACACGACGTATGAGCTCAAAAAGAAACGGAAGATCATTCCAAATGCATGTTGGCCATGAGCAATCATATACTCGGAGTCTGTCCTGGGACTGTCCTTCACTCACCTTCACGGATGCTGTCACCGTGGATGTTTCGCTGAAGTATAATTGCGGTCCGGTGGCCTTGCCGCACCAAGAGCCGCCCGTGAAAGGTCTACCCAGTTCGCTGAGCTGCCAAGTAAATAAATGATATTTAATTAATTAAAAATCAAGTTTGCTTCGCACACATTGATGTTAAAGCAATTCGCCAACGGCCAATGCCTTTATTATTTTGTCACATTTAAAAGCTCGTGCATGCAATTATAGCTTAAGTTCAACTCCATTTTTTAAATCGTTGATTCTGTTAAGCCAAATATTTAAAAAAGTTTGTCATGCAATTAAAAAATTAATAAACGCACTAAAGCTGGAAACGGCTGGAGGAAGGAGCAATCCATCGCAAACCCAAACCCAAGCCCATACACATCCAATTTCCACCACCACCTGACATGGTCTGGCATCTGGCATGGGTAATGGATTATGACTGTTGTACACATTTTATTGATTGGCGCCGTTCGCCAGCTCGTCTGCTCAATATTTGATTGTATTCCTTTCGCAACGCCAACTGCAGCTGCAGCAAAGAGTGAAGCGTACATTTATGCGCCAAGTGGCAAGAGCCAAGCGCCCATTTCAAATTATGCTAAAAAAAACTCTTGGCAATTGTCGAATGTGCACCACCTGAAAAATATTCAACTCAACTGCACTATGCCTAAAATAAAATGTGCAAAAGCCGACTCATACCGAGAAATATTGAAAGGCATAGGCTTGCAACCTAAGCACAGCCAATGAATTGTATCTTGTACCTTAAAAAATGAATATAATAAAAAATAAAATAAATAAAGCAAACAAACACTCACAACCAGAACAATGGTATGGAAGTATCAACTTATAATCTTTGTGTTTTTTTAAATTCGAATAAGAAAAGTAGCAAATACACATTGGACTTTGTGAATATGCGTAATTTAAGGTCAGAGCTCTATAAATACTTGTTGTCATTATTTTCGACCAACGACGCATAGTTTCAGAATAAAAAGGAAATATATTTCTGATCAAATTTGATGACTATAATAATTATAATCTTCATAGATATGGGGTTATGTATCGACTTACATCGATTTAGTGCAGAAAACGGGGGTCAGATATCGGTTTTTATCGATAGCGGAGTATCGTGAAGAACAATCGACACATTGAAAATTGTTCTGAAAAACGAGAACTTATGTTTGAATTTTTAAGCTTTTATAATCTTTGAGATCGACAGTTTGATATGGCTATATCGACGTGACTGCGGTCGGAGACGTTTGCATCAATACGTTAAAAATGTCACAATAATATTATAATACCCTCTGCAAGGGGATAAATTAAAATACTTCTACATTCGCGACAAGCTGCAATTCTAAATAACTTTTGCTTGGAGAATCAAAATACATTATTAAATTTAATTAAAAAAATTAATTTAACTGTAGTTCTAATTGAGATTAATCTATTTCCTGCTTATGGTCTAAAGAGAACTTTTTTTTAAACCGCAAACAATTTGAGTTTGTAAGGAATTCAGAACAGCATTCAATGTGGTTTCATAATTTTTGAACGGAATCGGAATCGGAATCGTCTGTTTAATTAATATGCTTATGCACTTATACGCCCCTTTGAGAGCGAGCTGAGTGAACAGAGTATACAAAAGAGAAATTACAAGAGCTGACAATTGGCATTCATTGAGCCGAGTATAGGCAGCTAATGTCGATAATAGCAACCGAGAACGGGCAACCACATCGTCAATGGAACAGGCTCGGTGACTTGGGGTATGATGACTTTTTTGCTTTTCCTGCACTGCATAGGTCAGTGTGCCCGTTACTCCGATACTCCGATACTCCGTTACTCCGTTGCGGCAACATCAGCAAGCATGCAGCATGCAGGCGGCAGCAGGCAGCTCATTTACATTGGCAGTGCATATGAATGGGTCTGGGGTTCCAATTGATTAAGTTTTTAGTTAATGGGTTATATGACCAGTCAGGTCCATGTTCATGTGTCCAGTCTATGCCCAGTCCTGCAACTGGCCAGTTGGCCATGTCCTGCGGCTGCTGCTGCTGCTGCTGCGGCTCGGCCCCAATCCAAACAACAATTTTTGCTGTAATTGCAAGTCGCCATCTATGTCGTTCATTTCAGAGCTCTGGCCAATATTTGTTACTGGTTAGAGTAGCAAATTCTCTGCTGTCATATGAAATGGCCTCAACCAACCGCTGAAGCTGAAGCGGGAGGAAGAGCCGGCATCAGGCACAAGGCCTGACAGCCCAGCATAATGGTAATTTTCTGATTTCGATTTTGTGTAAATTCATTGCAAACTGTGCGGACTCTCTATCTCTATCTCTGTCTCTGTTTCTTTTTTTTCTTCTTTCTTTTTTTGTTTCCTGCCCCTAAGCACTGCCTGTACTATACAACCTTCTCGTCGTCGTCATCGTCATCATCATTATTAACAACTTTGTTGTCGTTGAGTCCATTGTGTGCAGTGGAGCGTTATTAGCTTCGACTTCATAACGAATTATTGGAAATTTGTTTTTGTCCCCCAGTTGCAGTTACTTGGTTTGCCCAGCATTTCATTTATTTCTTTTGGTTTTTAGTCGTGTGGTGTTTTGTTTGATTAAGTGTTGGTTTTAAATTGATTGAATTATTATGTGGTCTGTTAAAGTTGGCACTGATGTATAATCTGTCACATAACTATTAGCTCTAAAAACAAGTAAGTACACTCTTTTCCCTTTCCCTTTTCCCTGCTATAATACATATTTATTCAATAAAATGGTTAATTGCTGGGAATAGATATTTAAAATTTACTATGCTAACTTTTAATCCCAGTCAAAAGAAACCCGAATGTACTATTTATGTCTGTTAATCGAGGCATGGGTTAAATTAACATTAAATATATTTCGGGATTATTCTCGATTGATAAAAGTATATTGCGTGTTTGTTAAAATTATATTATTTTACCCAGTTAAAAAACCAATTAAGCTAAATCTGTAGCGCAAAGCTGTTAGTTTTGAAAATGTTGCGTACAATCAACCTTTAGCTGATTAAACTTGGCTCAATTCGGTTGATGCCACGGAGCTATACCTGCCATTGTTCGCCGGCAACAACAACAGCAACAGCGCCAGCAGAGCCGCATCATTGAAACAATAGGCGATAAAAGTTTTATCAGCACAGTTGTTGGGTGTCGACGTCGTCGCTTCATAATCTGCCAACAATAAACAAAAGCCCCAAACAGAGAAGCCTTCAATGACTGCATCCTTCGTCCTGTTACCTCGTCCCTCTTTCCTGTCCCCAGTTATCTGTTCCCTTTTCTCTGTTTATCTCCATGGCCGTTAAATGCAGGCATGTATTCCAGGTTTAATTGTGAAACAATTTAAGCGCATAATGATACATTCGTTCCACAGTCCACAGCTCACACACACACACAGAGACACACACACAGACACACACACACACACTCTGTCAACTTTACAACTGTCTGAACTTCGGTTTGATTTACTGTAATTTAAAACATTTGCCACAGTTTTTTTTTTACGTCAGTGCTATTAAAAAATCATTAAATATAAATTTTGGTCCGAGTCGAAGCTTTAATTTGCAATTCAATGCGTTCTTGAATAAATAAATAATATTATAATATATGAAAGGGGCACTTTTGAATGTGGACTAGAATATACCCTGCAAATTGGATGCATAATTTTGTCTATGAAAAAACTGATGTTATTAAATACACAAAATGTAAAGAGAATTTAAATTTTATCGAGTCATCATTAATTATTTTTTTTTATTATTTTATTTTGATGTAATCAAAAATATAAAATACGTGTTTTAAATATAATTTTAGCTGTTTCCTTGTCGTTTTTATACAGAGGCATTGAATGAACACTTATTGGTGAATATCATGCAAAGTTTACAGGGTATAACAAATTGGAAACTTGTAAATCACTCGAGCATTTTTTTTTTTTTGATGACTCGTAAATTTACGACACAAACAAATGTCGCTGGACAGTGTAGTGAAGAGGCGGAAGTAGAACGCATGTCCAAGAAGTTTGCCAAGTTGAATTATGAGCTTGTCCATGGCACACACGTTCACATACACACACACACACTCACAACTACTTGCATAGACGTTTATGTACAAGTATAGATATTTATAGACGGGAGAGCTTAAACTGCCATTGACAAACTCGAATGTCCTCTCGCTGTTGCTGTTGCTGTTGCTGTTGTTGTCGTATCTGTTGTCGTTGCGGAGCAGAAGTAGGCAGGAGGAGCAGAGCATCGAGACTAAGCGGATGTTATGATTGTCAAATATTGAGTCATTTACTCAAGTTGCCCTGTCCTGGCCGAAGGACAACGTGGCAGGCAAGCAGAATAGCAGGACGGAAGGATAGAAGTCGTCGCCATCTTGTTGGTGTTGTTGTTGTTGATTTAGGTTAATACGCTTATGCATAAATTTTGTTATTTATGATTAACAATATTAGCAAATAAACAATGCAGCAGCAGTAGCGCCAGCAGCAGCAGCTTGGTCCCTAACTTTAGCCCCACCAGTTGGTCAAGTTTAAAGCTGGCACTATTGCAAAAAGTGTTGATGAATTATTCAATATAATCCAGAGCAGAAGGTCGCACAAAGGACACTGCCTCTTGCAATATGCATGAGACAAACTGTCTAACAAAATTGAATAACTGATTAAACTGTTACTTGGCAACTGCTCAAGCACAATCCCGGCAACTTTATATGGCACTTTGCTACTCATATATATATTACAAAAATCACATAGGTAGATTGCTATAAATACGAGGCGGTTAAGAATTTATGTGGCTAGGCCATGACACGAATAATTTATAAAGGAAACCAAACGGAAAAAAAGTTGCAAAATAACCGCGGAAAAAACTGAAACCGCGTCAGCAGTTAAAAATGTTTGCCTTAAATAAATAAAAACAGGCGAGCCGGCGACGATAAAGCCCGGAACGAAACCAGGAGAATGACAACACAAACCTGCGGTTAGTTACGAGTTTATAAAACTGCAACAGGCCCGACGCATATGAGAAAAAATGGCAAATATTTAACTGCATTTAAAAGCCCGGACTCACATGCAAGAATGCCCAGTTTCCATCAGTTGGACAGAGCCAGCGCTAAACCCCGACCAGATCTATTTCGGCCGCCGTTTCCCCTACGAACATATGTCAAGTGCCAAATGAAACCTCAACAGACGGACGGACGGACATCCCCAACAGCGCCTGGGATGCCAGATCTGGATGAGCCGGACGGGACCACAAAATGTCAGCGTACGCCCCACGCCTGTTCAAAATTTATTGTCAGAAAGGCAAACGAAGGGCGTGGCAGGCAGCAGGCAGCAGGGCAAACAAAAAAATTGCTGCAACACTCGCCATCGCTAAACTAATAAAGGACTGTGCGCTTCAGGATTGGGGAAGAGCGGGGAGCATAAGCTGGCAGACTTCACTTTTAGCTGGACATTGAAATGAAACCGATGGGAATCATACAAACAAATTTTTATGTCAGCCTTTTAGGGCTAAAATGAAAAACGTATTCAAGAGGAACAATGGAGAATAATAGAAATATAAAAGGAAAATAAAACATAAGAGGAAATAAATTGAATAAGTCGAGGATGAGGGACGAGTCTAATTATTATGATTGATTGATTGAAATGATGCGGTCGAAAGACTACGATCACGTTTGATCAGTGGATTTTTGTAGAAGTCCTATTCTTTGATTGCAGCATACTCAACCCAAACAACTATTAATTCGAACCTTCCGAGTTTTGGTAAGTACAGCTGTTAGACTGTGGGAGATATATAGCCTGTATGAGTGGACGTGGCCCAACAATTTTGTTTGCTTTTAGAAGGGAGTTTTTAGCAAATTGAGTGAGATATATGATTTTATCGACTTACACCGTTATATCAGGTATATCGGTGTTTGTTTATAGACATTTAAGGAGAGTTACTGATAAAATTTGGTGACTCAAGCCTAAAAATCGTGGAAGATAAAAGCATTTTAATGTTTTAAGCGCTGAATGCCAGGTGGCGGCGGGATTGCCATGCCCTGGAATATGTCAAAAATTATGTTAGCCATTAGCATTTCCATTTTTAATGACGTGGGTCCGGGGGCTGCGATGAGGGGCGGGGGCGATGCTGATCTTTGAAGGTCATCAACAATCTACGATTCGTGTTTGGTGATTTTCAAATTGTGGCAGATTTGAGATTTTATCGATGATGATCGAAGATGATGAGAGTTACCTTCCAATTTGGGTGACTATAGATTAACAAATGTGGAAGATGTAGTCATTTACCAATTTGTAGGGTCGGGTGCTGACAGCCGCTGTCGATATTTCAAGGAGATCGTCAAAAATATACCAACCAAATTTATTGACTGTAGGCCTTATGATTTGAGATTTAATTTGATCGATTTCATAATCTCCCAGTCAATGTAGCACTCCAATTTTACAACAAGGTTCCAAGTTGCCAGTCTCTAGCTGTAAGCCAGAATAACGGACATTGCATAACACTAATTTACTCTTGTTGCTTCGATCTCAGAGTATAAAAATATATCGTAATATTGTAATCGAAGATTGAAAGAAAATTTGAGATTTTGAATGGAAAACGTAAGCTTCAAATCGTTAGCAGCTTTTAAATTGCTCATTCCGCAAGAAAGTAATCACACCTAGGGTAATACTTCAAAGCAGAAATCCTTTGTGTGATTTCTCGCCCCCAAACTGGTAAAATCACTTTGCCCTGCAATTCAACACTTTGCCCTTTTCAAATTGCTCCATTGCTCCATTGCTCCATTACACAAGCAGTTCACAGTCCGAACAACTTAAACTTTGAAATTAATTCGAAGGGTAGCTATGTGGCGGGGTGGCAAGGTGGCAAGGTGGCTAAAAGCGCATGCAAAGTGCACGCTACAAGCTACGTAACGGTAAATATGTATAGTGTATTGAATCAGAGTGCTGCAAACCCCAAACCCAAACTATATCAATTCAATGGCAATGCTCCGTAAATAGCAGCAAAACTCCATTTAATGTAATGCAGCAGCATCAGATTATCAAAGTACACACACACACACGCACACACACACACACTATACATATATATATATATATGTATGTACATAAGCAGTTACGAGTTTATGGCACATATACAAATGTACAAATGTACATTTGAACATATTGCACAAGTCAATTACAGGGATTTGGTACATTTTATTTGGACAGGGCTTTAGTTTTACGGTATGCCTCCCCTCCACTCCTCCCCTGAAGCCCAGTAACATCACCCGTTTGTCAAATGGGACGGCGCAGAGACCAAAATGTCTGGACAAAGTAGCAATGTCAACAGCGTGGAGCCGCAAAAATTGTGATAAAAATATATATATGTTAAATAGTTTGCTATTTCTTTTCCTTGGGTTTTTTTTTCTTTTCATTTGCTCGCCAACCAACAGTGAACAGCACTCAAACTTCAATCTGCGGACACAGGGTACTAGTGGCATGAACACAGAAATGGATAAAGCAAACACACACACAGTGAGGGAGAGGGGGAGAGGGGGAGAGAGGGAGAGGGAGAGAGAGAGGCGCACAATTCAATTCAATTTGCTGGGCTAATGTGGCATTTGTCAACAGAACCAACAGAAAATTACAGAATTACTCGGACATTGATTGAATCGAACGGGTCGATGAAGCGACTGAGGAACGGAGGAATGGTCAAATCCGGAGCACGAACGAGCAACAGACCCAAGAAAATCATATTCTCCCTTTTGCATCTCTTTCTCTCTCTCTGTGTGTGTGGCTGGCATAAAATTATAGTTGAACGCAAGTTCAATAGCAACAACAACAACGACAACAACAGCAAATGGAGTGCAAGTTACAATTTCGCAGTGGGCGGGGGGGGAGGATGGGGGAGAAGATTTGTTGGCCTTACGTAATATTAAATTGGAGTTTTAATAAATTAAATTTGCACTTACCTGCATAAAGCCCTCGGGACAGCCAGGTAGCTCGCCGGTCGGACTCAGATTCGTCTCATAACCATCCACATCCGTATCAACCATGCCCTCGTCAAAGCGGCCCACCGTAAACCCGTCAAATATGATCTGCACAAGAAGAGAGAAATATGTGCACATCTGAGTTTTAGTGTATTTTATGTTTACGGTGGATGAGTCAATACATCGACTCAGAAATTCCCTGTGGACAAAACGCACTTCAAGGCGAAATATAGTAAATAATTATACAAATATTATATAAATATTAAAATATACAAAAATGTATTCAATCGCAACGTGGTTTGGTTTAAGATTTATGATAAGTTTACAATCAGCCCCCCTTAAAAAATTGCTGCATATTCCCTTGTCTCTAAGTATGATGTTTAAGAGAATGAATAACGAGGAGTGCAAACTTACAAAGCAAGTACAAAAATACTAGCAAGTTGTGAGGAAATACGTATGTCGTCAAGAAATTATATTCATATACTTTAAACAGAAAATACATATTTTTAAAAATCCTTTTTTATAAGTTTAAAATGAATTTTAATATATTTCAGGATATTGCGTATTTTCCCTTTACAATTCCACTGCTGGGTATTCCAAATTTGATGTGAGTTTAGTTTCACGCAGTTAAAGTTATGCAAATGAAATTCAATTGCAAAAAAGGAACTTTAACCACGCCCACGCCACACACAATTCACTGGTCTCTGTTTGCATATTAGATTGGCCGTAAAAAAGACAACACACAGCAGGCGCCGGAGAGAGCACGTTGAGAGTCATGCAAGGTCAGGACAGGGACTTGGGAAACATCATCGAAAAAAATATAAATTCAAAGATGAGGGCTAAGGCAAAGTCAAGTGTGTGTGTATGTGTGTGTGTGTGTGTGTAATATGGTGCTACGCAGATACACATATATATTTTAATAAAATATGCAAATAAACTTGAGTGTGTTTGAAATTTTCCAAATTGCAAACAAAACTTCTAAAAAGGGTTGAACTTTCTGAGGCTTTATACATTTTGTAACACCTACCCAATAACCAGCCAGAAACAGGAAATGTAACGAAACTCCATTTTAATTTTGAATGTTAAACAGTCGAGTAAACTTGATGGTCACCTGGATGCTTCACTAGAAACCTAGTGGACAAGTTCTCAAGTTTGTCAGCCAAGTGCAGAGGCAAATTATGTCTCCACACCCTTGCAGAGGCTATTCCAATGTTGTAGTGAAGTACATGAACATATCAAATAATTATTCTTGATCGGCAACAGACATCGCATCTTTCATAAACTTGGAACATATTCGATTTTTGCTGTATGTATTACATATTATGGTATCGGGCGGATCATGAGACAATAGCATATGTCAGAAATATAAACTATGGTATTAAAATGCTTATTACATTTACTCATTATTTTTATCATACATGTTAATACTGTTAGATCAGTCTGCAAGGGCATGTTATCTTCGGCGATTCGGTTCGTTTTTGTTTTCTTGTTTTTCTTTTTTTAATGAAGTTTTGCTTGTTAAATGAAAGTTGGGGCAAAGTTGTTGCCACATGTATCGATTAAGAGTGGGCAATGCTTTCAGTTCAGTACATTGTACAAATCGAGTTTTACAAGATGTCAGAAGTTATAAAACACTCACTAGCAAAGCGAGCTGTTGTCGTTATTAATATTATTTGTAATGTCAATGTCGATATAGCTCCTTATGCTTGGGATTTATCAGTAAAAGGTATAGGCAGTCTAAACGTCGCTTTAATATATTCGATTAATAATTAATAATATAAGATTTGCAAAAACATTTTTCCGTCATTCTGTGTGGAATCAATAATTCCATCCAAATACTCAATTAGTTACCGCATAAAAAAGGAATATACCGTTTCAAAAACATGTAAAAGGATCACAAAAAACATGATATAAAAAATCTCGATTCCAATGCATAAACAAATATAAAGAACACATTTAAAATACGCCCAAAAGAGACAAACAAGCAAAATAAAATTCACATGCAAAATATAAAAAAGAAAAATTATACAGCTATGTGAATTTTATATAAAAATATCCGTTGATTTATGTGGGTGGCAAAATGCGCTTGGCTTTTATTGCTACAATTTAATATTGTTGCATGCTAAAAATGTGAAATACTGAGAAATAAGAGAGTTTTCCTGGCACCATTCACCGCTTCTCTTATTCATACTCTGATACTGCGGATATCATAGTATATTGGTTTTGTGCGATGTCCGTCATGCTGTCTTTCCTTTCGTCCATCTGTATGATCGCAACTTTTTTCCACACCCTTGGAATATCTACTGGTCTGTGCCACGTCAGACAAAGTGTACCACCAGGGGGCTAGGAAATCGATAAGATCGATAATTGCAAATCGATAAGGCCACGTATCTCGCACAATTTTATGGCTATAGTCAGCAAATTTGGTTGGTAAGTTGTTGACGATGTCCTTCAAAGATCGGCATATGTCACTTCCACCTTGATTAAACCAAATATCTCACCCAATTTGAAAGCTGGAGTCTTCAATTATGAAAAATCTAGAAATAACATTTTGGACCAAGCCCACTCCTGACCCCAAAATTCACAAAAGCCCATATCTACCGCAATTTGAAATTCGAACTTTGAGGATAGATTACTAGGAATCTCCTTCGAAGATTGGTATGTCACCCTGTTCTGCGGCACCTGTCATCAGATGGTATTACTTGTGGTATCAGAGTATTTCGCAGCCTGTTGCACACGACTGCAACGTCCTCACTTGTTTTTCGTCTATGTGTGTTTATAGTATATATAAGCTTTAAAACAACCACTCCCTCTTATCAGCCTTACACCGCCGGCGTAAAAAATGCGCGCAGCTCGTGGCGTAAATTTCAGAGTGCAACTTCAGGGGATATTTGATTAAAGCATAAAAAATTGAAAAAGGCATCATTCCAGAAGATTGGGGGGCAAGTTATTTCCATTAAAAATTAGCCCCGGGTAAACTTGCAGTGCCCTGGACTTGGGATTTGAGGTGTGCGGTGTGCGAAGTGTGGTATGGGGTGCGTAGGGTAATTTAAACTTTTTCTCTCGCTGGAAAGCACACGCCGACAATCATCAATCAATATGTACAGCAGGTCTGCTGACAGACAAGACGATTGCGGCGCCCAGGACGATGTCCCCTGAACTGGCGCGTAACATTATTATTTCAAGCCATTTCCCACGTAGACACATGGTGTGGCAAGGCAAAAGGGGAATAGATGGGAAAGGAAGAGGGAGAGGGAGGGGAGAGGTAGGTGGCTGGATAAGGCGAAAGCCAGGGACATGATTTATACGCATTGCGAACAAAATCACCCACTTTTATCAACATGGTCTACAAATGCGGAAACACAAAATAAAAGTTATAACTTATGCATGACAGATTTGGTGCAAGGTGCAAAGCTGCCAGCGAAGCAACCAGCAAATTTAGCATATATCATTTTATATATAGAGAAAGAGAGAGAGACACTGGTAATGCTCAGTAGAGGATTACGCAGGGGATTGACAACTCTAGCTAGGAAAACGACTCGTTGTCATCTCTCTGCCCTGTTTCTGTTTCCAGCATGCCAATCCCCCGTCGATTGGGGGCAGGGAAATCCCATTCCAAACCCAAACTCTGCTCTGTTAACTGCTCATTGCGCTGTTACGCAAATTGCATGGAAATCAATTATTTTGGAAATTGAAATTGACGTTTTTGTGACAGTTCGCCAAAAATGTGCTGAAGCGTGTCTAATTTTATTGTCAACGCTTTTGCCATTGCCGACGCTCGTCTGTGCCCCAAAGGCACTTTAAAGACTTTACTTTAAGTAGATATTGCCCGGATGAGGCAAGCAACTAACTAGAGGCTTTCGGACTAAGCTCAGACTCAATGTACAGTTATACCCCTAATTGAGCACGCACATAAGCTCCGAGCACTGAAAGTGCCAGGCATTCATCACGGGGCAAAAGAAATGAGAACACACTCACCCGGAGTGGGACCTGAAATAATCGAAGCTCGAATGCTCTGAGATCTGACTAGCCGCATAAGAAATTTTCAAAAGTTGATCGAAAAAGAAGTAAAAAGTTGATATCGTGCTTATGAATGAATTATGGGTGCACCGATTCTCCCAACTTACTCCCCAGAAAACAAATTTGGACCTTTTAGTTATGGTTTAGTCGATATACTTTAGGAATTGTTATAATTCACTTTGATACTGTACCTATTCAGAAACTAATTGATTCAAATAAACTCCAGAGAATTTGAATTCTCTGCACATGTTAAATGAACTCTTTTTTTATTTTATAATATGGAATATTAAAGGCTGAAAGATTTTTATTTTTTTTTTACAAAATAGGAAATTTTAAATAGAGTTGTATGCACTGATACCGATTGGATTGCTTGGGGAACTGCACTATATTTCTATACATCAATAAACATTTGTACTTGTACCTACTTAAACATATCTAAGAATATTAATTGTATAATTTCTCCAAATGTATAAGGACTGTTGTCACAGTAAGCAGACCTTCTGGAAGTTAGTGTATTTAACCCCAGGCACAACGTCATCTGGCATATTCTTGTATGCTTTGCGTTCTGCACTGTACCCAAATATTTCATGGTGCGTTAGTGCGTGCCAGTGTGTGTGTGTGTGTGTGTGTGTGTGTGTGTGTGTTCTTGTTGTTGTGTCTGTGTGTGGTTGTTGGAAGGGAAGGGGAGGGGGAGGGGTGCCAGGTTCAGCTTGTGTGTTTGCATCCACACATTAACAGAATACACATCTATATGGCAGGGTGTGTGTGTGTATGTGTGTGTGAGTGTGTGTGTGTATGCATTGCAGTTTTATGTCGCCGGCACTGCTTGCTAATATTTGCTTCCGGCTTGCCGAAGCCACAACGACAACAGCCGGGCAAACACTCCAGAGCTGGTAGCTCTTTATCCCCTCCCCCCACCAACACTCACACACACCCCTTTTGAAAGGAGGTCCTCTGGTTGAAAGGCTGTGGACTCACCTGGACAATGTCGCCTTGGTCATGGCCGGACGCGGTGAATGTCAAGTGGCAGAGGAAGGGCAATTTATTCCACTGTGGCGTTGGCACTTTTATAGCATAGGTGCGTCCAATGTCACCGTAATATGTCCGATTGCATACTGTCAGCAAAGATAAATTTATACATATATAGACGGACACATTATGGGTTAAGGTAGGCATAAAGTTATGGCTGCTTTAGCTGCACTCACCGGAGCAGTGCTTGGGCTCATCACTGCCATCGGCACAGTCGCTGCGTCCATCGCAGTATTTGTCCAGTGGCACGCAGATGTTGCCACTGTTGCCACTGCCCTTGCACGAAAACTCTGATACGCGGCAGGCGAGGCACATGCTCAGTGCGGCCACCAGGAGCAGCGATAACAGCAGCCATGGCTGACTTAGAGTATTTCTCCGATCTGTAGTCAGCATCTGCAAGGAGTGAAAATAATAAATGGTTAGCTAGGATATTGAAACATCTAGTTGAACTTAAGTAACTGCAAAGATTGTTAGATTGTTTAATATCAGATATGGATTTATTATTTAATGATAAATACATTTAAAAAATTGTTGGCCCTGAACAATAATTGTTAAATAAAATTTATTTGCATAAACATAGTTTAGTTTTCAGAACATTGGCTTAGGTTCTGTATACAAATCAATGACAAAGTGGACAAGCTAAGACCATTCGTGGGAATTCAATTCAAAGGAAATGATACATGCCTTATTAAATGAATACAATAATAAACTTATTGTCAAGACATTGAGCCGGCTTTGAACAAAATCCTCAATATTTACAGCTCAGCAGCAACAACAACTGTTAAGATTATAAGGCGTTAAGTACTTTCCGCAATGTCCATTTAACAGAAATAAGAAAAATTTCAGCTCTGCTCAAAAACAACTTTTGGGATTATTTTTTACTGAATCTTGACTAATATCTGTCGATACTGAAAAATACAAAAAGTAGTGAGTAATTTCAATTAACTAAAAAATAATTTTTAATTTTTAAACTCAAATTGAAAATATTAATAAGAACTATATCAAAAATATAATATGAAATTGAAACATTTCTCGAATGTCTATTTTTATAATTACAATTCACCATTGAATCTAATGTGCCTGCTACTCAAAAATGAAAGCGTTCGACATGAAAGAGAGCAGATCTGCGAAAAATCCTCATACTCAAGACACTCAAAAATATCCATCCCAGGCTTTTCACGGCTTTCAGCTTTCAGTTGTTGTTTTTGTTTTTGTTTTTGTTGAATGTTGTGTGGCTGAGACCGTGCAGACATTTGGACGTAACTGCTTCAGGTTTTATGATGCCGTCAACCTTTTTCCATGTGCCAAACATACATATATTTTATGGGGCATACGTGGGCTTGGTCATATTGAAAACTCAGCATTGTTATGACTTTGAAACCCCCCAGTAGCAGGGAGGAGGGGTTGAACAGGAAAGGAATACAACAGCATGAACCGTTGCAGGTCCAGGTAAATGGCAGGTGTAAAAATTGTTATCGGTAGCCGGTTACCGTGGATGAGGCAAAAGTTCTTAAAGCGTACTTGATTGCTCAAATCCTTTGTGTATCCTTTTAAGCCTTTTGTTTTCCATTATGCGCCGGAAGTGTTGTAAACACTTAAAGAAAAAACAAAAAATTCACAAAAAAAAGAGGTAGGAGATTAAATCAACTACGGCCTGGAAACAATAACAACTTTTGCAGACTAGCAGAGAAGTTGAACCCCAACCCCAGTCTATTCTCTGACTGGCCGCTGAGGACAACATGCGGAGACAGTCGGCACTGCGGGAAGCCGTCGCCCTCCGACTTGGCTATATGCAAATTTGAGACGACAGTTTTAATAAAAATAAAGGAGGCACGGAAATAAAGCATAATAATGTGTGATGACAATCACAACTCAGCAAAAGGGGTGAGCAGAGGGTGAGGTACGTGTCGAATGGGAAAGCACTCATAACGCTTAGTTGTTCCTATGTCGGCATTCCCTTGGCCTCTCAATATGCTACTCGCATGAGTTATGTTATATTTGTGTATGTGCGTTTGAGAATGTTTTGCATAAGTGTATGTGCTGAGTTGGGACGTGGAGGAGCACTTTAAGTTACTTAGCCAATGCCCGGAGTGCCACCCAGGGAATGCAACTCTGCGAGGGATTTGACGTTGACAGGAACCTGAAAGTGGCCAACACGGTATGTCAAAGGCAGGGAGTTCAGATGATTAGTTTGTGCCACAAGAGAATTTACAAGAAAAATTTATTTAACAATAAAAACATAAAGACCTTGCCCGAGCACCACGAGCTAAGGGAATTTGACGAGCACAAGTATGAAAGACAAAGAGAATCAACTGGAATAAGCTCAAGTCTTCAACGCTTTTCACTTGAGCAAAAAGGGGAACACGTTGCCTGCTTTTTTACTACACAGAGAATATGTAGAGACTGAAGAAGCACTCATCTCCAACAACATAAGGTACATATATTCATAATTCAAATCTCAATACTACAAATAAAATATCAAGTACAAAATTTATAAAAATATTTACAAGTCTTAACGTCAAAGAAGTGTGGGTAATTAATTGGGGGTAATTAATTATTCTAAAATATAGCTTTTCAAACTTTGTAGAGTACATTGCAGGATACATCTTCGTTCAATTAAGTTATCAGCCGATATATCCATGTCCTTCGACGCGAACAGTAAAATTTGTAACTTATTTCATAAAAAGTATAATAAAATCAAATAAGAATATTGCAGTCGACAGAGCCCGACTACGACTTCCCCTCAACCCAGCTGTTAAATATACCCTAGTTTTATTGACAAATTTCCCTTTCAAAGTTTGGCACACTCAAATGTAAGCAGGTGCGCAAGTGCTTTCCATTCTTATGACTGGCACAGCCAATAAAGAGTAAAAAAAACTAAGGCAGCACACAAATTTCTTCATAAGCCCGAACTAAAATCACTATCCTGCGACAATCGCTTACATATATACATATGTATATATATATTTGTCGAGTTTGTTAGTAATATGCATATGCATATTACATATTACTTAGAATCCTTTGCCCTAAATTAATTGTGGCTATTATTACTATCGGAAGTCGAACTGTATCGAACCTAATTTTGATCAGCGCGGGGTATAAGAGATTTTATATTTTCTAGCTCAATTTCTGAGATCCTCATATTTATACAGACGGACGGATGGACAACGGACGGACAGACAATGGCTCGACTGTTAATCCTGATCAAGAATATGTATACCAAATGGGGTCGGAGATGCGTTCTTCTCTCAGTTACATAAAATATATATATATTCCTGATCAGGGTCAACAGCCGAGACGATACAGCCATGTCCGTCTTTGTGCATATGGAATATACATATGTAGGTTCTCATATACTCGGCGCACATCAAGTTTGCTTAATTTTATCGATAACTGCCTCCGTTTCTCGAATATCGATACAAGCAATAAGTGCTCAAATTTTAAAGGCAGAATTAGTGCATAATATGCACATGCATATTATTGATCAACTGCTTAAGTATCATCCAGATCGGATAGCAAACACCCAAGTTATAATATATATCCTCATACTAATCTCATTTCTATCAGCAGCCTCAAGCATTTTCTGTATGCATAAATATGCGTGCGCATGTGTGAGAAAGAGATAACATGGTATTCAAAGCGAGCTTCAATACGTTTTTGTGTGTATTCTGCAGAGCCCCGTTACACCGTTTCGATTGTATGTACGTGTATATGTATGTAAGTATGGATATTCTGCAGAGTGCAACATTTTTGAAGGAGATTAAAAAAAAAAACTAGAATATGTTTAACAACAGGGTTCAGGGTAAATCGTAGTCGACCTCACTCGACTACGGACCAGCTCACAAATAATTGGTCGAGCTCACCCGACTACATATGTAATTCTTACTTGCTTATTTAAATAAAGCGGTAATGTTGCCACTCACACGTTAACGACAACGGAGACGAATAATGGAATCGGGCTATGACTTGATTAAACTAAAATTAAGCTTAGACGTAATCTGAATTTCTGTCTACAAATGTAGGCTTGTCCAAAATAAAAGTGCAACCTGTCACAATTCTAAGCAGTTAGATTACTTTTTTAAATGCAAAATGTAAAATTGTATATTATTCAGAATAAAAAAGCAATAAGAAATTGTGGCGGAATAAAACTAAAGTAATCTCCGGTAATACCACCTGCACAATGGCTTAAATGATGAATGTAATTGGCAGAATCACGATTAATTTGTGGGCTTTTGATATCAGTATATCTGTCAACCATCCGCAAATTGAATGCGTTGGCTATTTCCAGGCTTCGCTTAACTGCTCCAGCTTATGTCGCACAGCCCCTATTCCAATAATGGGCTAGGGGAAGGGGCTGAGAGAAGTAAGCACTGTTGTTAGTCAGTCGTGCCTCCATGGGTAATCCAATCAATGCACTCTCGTGCTTCGACACAATCAAATTCTAGTTACCCAAAACTGGAGTCTTTGCGACACACGCTTGGCACAATTAGAGAGCACGTCGACAAAAAGGGAATGCTAAAAAATACTTGGCTAAAGGAAACTGTGTGGACACACACAAACACACACACACACACACACTTGCGTGGAGCTGAGACCAGAACCGGGACAATGACAATGACGAGCTGCAGAGTAAACAGGCAAACTGGCAAACTAGTTGACTGGCATGCAGGCAACCAGGCAGGCAGGCTGGCAACATTTGCCACAATTGACAAAGAATTTATGCGATGCTTATAAAAGGCTTATGGGGTAAGTCCTTTCACCCAGACAGGCACACACACACATGCATAGACACATGCACGGGAAATGCGAGTAAAAAGCGACATGGGATGAGAGAGAATTTCACTTTTTTCATTCAGGAGAAAGGACGATGTTGGGGCAGCCAAAGTGACAACAGTAAATAAAGTAAAAAAGAGATGAGAAAATCTGAAAACTTGCGCAATTGCTCGCAGCGAAAATGTTGGAAAATTATGTTGTAAATGCGCACATTTGTATTTTGTATATATTTGGCATTACTGCTGCCAGGACCGAACTGAAAAAATAAACATATATTTGTTTGCTCGACTGTCTAATGTCACGGGATCTATTTACTCATTCTACTCGATAGTCTTAAATACTTAGGTAATTAAAATATTTATGCTATTAAGTTTAATAACAAAATCCTGGTAACCATGCAGGAGGAAAGTCTGAGTAAAAGTTGGCTTTTCTCTATACCCAATGTTAAAACCGTATAGGGTATACATAAGAAATATAATTAAATTAGCGTCGGGGGCCACGAAAATTGTTGCATTAAAAAAAAACCCAAAAAACGGCATCAAAGCAGGCAACAACCATAATAAACACAAGTCAAGGAGAGATAGGAGCAGGCGAGGCAACTTCAATGACCAGGAGGCGTC